CAGATCAGTTAAGGTCAGGTAGTCATTATGAGGACTTTAGGATTCTAAAGGAAATGAATGAAAAGTTTCTGTAGTGTCTTGAGCTGATTGATGCCATAATTTGTGTAACACACACAAAATAATGACTCTGACAAACCTGTTGAGAAAGATTGAGAAGCGAATGTGTAAGATCTTCGCCTAGATATCCTGATGTCTGCTTCCGTGACATCTTTGTTCAGCACTTATCTTTGAGCGGTGCCAGTCTGTCCACAATGATAATGTAACCTGCTTTCCTCTGCATGTCTTCTCATCCTCTGCTTTCTACAGTCCCCACCCCCAGGCGTTCCTCTACCATTTTGCCTTTTCCATTAGCACCTGTCCTTCACATATCGTATAAGCATAAGCTTGGAAGTTAGACACCATGTGATGTTAGAGATGACAGTGACTTTGTTCATGGTGATAGTAGAGATGTTGCAAAGAGGTCAGCATTTAAAGCAAAACCCAATTGCATTTCCTGGGGTCGTGAGGTATGGGAGAAAAAACAGTCAAGAATAACAGAATCTTCACAATCTTTTGCATAAAATGTGGGGAAATGTTTCAACATTTTATGAAAAAGATTCTCAGACGCTTGTGTCAAATTTTTTTAAAAGTGTCAAAAATATTGCCCATTTTACAAAAAAGAAATGGTCTATATTTACAGATCCTCTAAATGTCGAGAGTATACTAGCAGATATTTTGTAACACTCAAAACATAATTTATCATTTCCAAAAGCTGATGGTATTTCAACTGAAAATTGAGCTATGGAAATATTATCCAGAAGATAGTCATTCAAAAATATTTTTATTATCAGTATATGATTTTGTTGATGAAAATCACATAAATGTTCCCATGTAGAATGTGTTATTTTGTGTTTGAAAACTTGCAAACAAATATTTCCTAAGAATTAAGATTTTTCCGATTACTTTTCCTTATTTTGATCTGCATATCTTTTTCAGCTCTGGTGAACTTTTACAATCAAAGACCAAAATAACTGAATTTAGTACAAAACTTGTGAAATGCTGAAGCAAAATGCTCAAAACTTTTGGAGATTGTTGAGCAGATATTTGTCAAAGTCTGAAGTTATTTTGAAAATTAATGTTTCCCTCCAAATATACATAGATCTTAATTTATTTGGAGGGAATGCATCATGAACTCCCTTTGCTACTTCCTATAAAATATCCCCATAGGTTAACTTTAAAAAGTAGTCTCCATCTTTCCTTTCATAAATATTCCTTCCTTAAGGCTCAATTAAGCCTTACCTTCTTCCTTTACCCCTCATTGTGCATCATACTTCTTCTGAGCTTTCATAGTACTTGGTCCTTATTTTTAATTTGTGACGCACATCAAGTTATTTTAAGTGCTTCTTTCACCCTCTAGCCTTTAAATTCTTTAACGACAGAAACAGTGTTAGTTTATTTTCTCTATTAGTTCCCCGTTCTTTAATTTGCTAAATAAGGATGTTGCATATCCAACTTTAAGACATTATGATGCTAATAGTCATTAAAAAAAAAAAAGCCTGTAATTCCGTGAGTTATCCTAACAGTATTAGTAGTGTGAATAGTATTTCCATAATGCATTAATATTCACCAGGCACACCATTAGCAATCTATATTTACTATCTCACCAAATATATTCACAACAAACTTCTGAAGTAGATATTACTACACTCTCCATGAACTGTAGATGAAAGTAAGCAATAGAAGTGTTTACAAACTTCCCAAGGTATTATTATTATTATTTTAATTTAAGTGAAGGCATTAAAATTTGAATTGACTTCAGGATACGCACTTAAAAACATGATGCATACTGACTCTCAATGATTCTTCATTAGGATTGTATTAATTCTAGAGATGGTACTGTGTATATCTGAGGTCATTAGATTTCTTTGTATCCTTCAATAAAGGGAAAAAAACCCAAAAGAATGTTTCTTACACATGGGGAATGAATAAGAGGGCAGTATAATGATGAATTTTTCAGGTCAGCCTGGACTTAGAGAGTGTCAGCTCCACAGGTTAGTTAGCCAAGCCCCAGAGAGGTAGTCTGGAGGGGTTGGTAAGCCTAGGTCCGGAAGTGTCACCTCTAATGGGCTGGCAAGCCAAGCTGGCAGGCATAGCCCCCAAGGTGTCTCAGGTTCGGAGTTCCACCTTCTTCCCGCAGCTCTCCTGGTTCAACCAGTTGCATCGGCTGGTAAACCAGCCTCTAGGGTGTACGGATCTTTAGCTCCGATGATCTTCTGTAGCTCTTCAGGTTGCAGCTTCAGTGTTGAGGTTCTTGTCTCATGCCCAGGAAGAATGAGGAATACAGACAGCCGGAAAGTAAGAAAGCACCATTTATTGAGAGGACAGAAAAGCTCCCACAGTGGGAGGGAGCCCGAAGGGATTGCCCATCTTGGACTGAAGACCTGATGCTTACATAGCCCTAAGTCCAAACTGATTGGCTGGCACTAGCTGTGAGCTGTAACTGTTCTGATTGGTCAGTGTTAAGGACCAATAGGCAGGAGGTAGGGGCCTAATAGTGAACTGATCGATTGCTTTTCAATCCCAGCAGTGAGTACTTAAGTTCTAGCTTGAGAGGCTCTCGGGGAACTTGTTTTCCAAAGCTGAACCTGAGAAACCTGGGAGTTTGCTACATTGTTACCAGAGGACCCACCTGTCTGCCTGCCTAGTCTTTTTCTAGCTATCGCCTGTCTCAGTAATACACACGTTCTCAGGAATTAAACTATCAATAAACGAAGAGGAAGGGTCTTTCATGTGCAGAGAGGTTCCCATGGTAGGATGGAACACAGACTATCAAATCCCAGCCTTCCTGATGATTGGATGACCACTGACAGAACAGCCTCATTTTCCTTAGCCCACTCAATGGAGGAATTAACATAACCTATATAGTGTAGAATGCCTGTACAAAATAAGATAATACTTATATATAGGCTTGCTGAAAAGAAAACCAATTAATGAAAACTGGCAAACAGGAGCTTTTTATTCAAATGATTCCCTGATACTTAAAATTACTTACAGACTTTTCTCATTTTATAAGGCATTCTTACAATTAAGTAACAATGAAGTCTTTGTTATTGTGTTTTGTTGGTGGCATTGAGCTATTTTATCTTTAACATTTGAAAAATCTACAAATTGTTTTGTGTTCCAATGCTACATGCAAAATAGACTGATTATTATATTCACACATAGATCACGTTTAATGTAGAAAGAGGAAATTATGGAAAATCAAAGGAATCTTATTGCTTTGTCATTAGTGTAGTGATTAATGATGGCTTTTTTGCTGTATACACATTGAAATTATTGATTAGTACACGAAGAAATTTAAATGAAACATCTGGTGTTGAAATACAATTAACAATATTCAGACTAACGAATTCTTTAGCAATAGAGCTATTTAATTACCTAAATAACATTAAGCCTAGGGATAGCTGTTCTTGGCTTTGCAGCAACTTAAGGTTATTATCAAGAATTTAGTCTCCTTTTGTTTTTCTCTGCTTGCATTCTCAAAGTATTGGCTTTTCCTCTGAAGCTTATAGCTTCACGGCATCAAAATGACCTTAGAAACTCCAGGCTTAATTTCTCTCGTATGACAGCATTCAAAGCAGGAAGAATGGGAAAGTGTGGTGAGAGGATGCCTTTTCCTGCTATCAACTCTGTTAATGAAATGCAGAATCGTTCGAAACAATCATACATGATGTTAATCTTTACAATGCAGAAATTAGAGTCTGCCATGTGAACACCTCTAGCCTCAGAAGAAGTTGGGAAACTTAGTACCATTCAAAAGGAAATGGGGTTAGTCATTGCCTTGAATCCCTGCTACTCAACCAAGTGGGTTGAGAACATTGCCGCCCTTCTGATTCCAAAACAGTGTCCTAGTTCTGTTAGCCAGGAAAAAATGGGTGAGGACATGAATACAAATATGTTTAAATAGGTTTCCTCAGAAATCTAACAAGTCTTTCAGTAATTCAAGAATACTGCGCCTTTAAATAAGCAAAAGAAAGCACATTGTTTTAGAAAAGGAATATGTTAGTAAACTAAATTGCCAACATTTAATTTAAAGTATGAATTTCCATCTATCCAGGCACAACTGTAGTTTGCCTTTTACTAATACACTGAGAAGAGCATTATATTATAAATTAGGACTAGAAAATCCTCTAAGCATATTTAACTGAGCTTTGGGAAGAAATGCTTTCAATATTGAATAAAGGTTGATTTATTGAAGACAATCTGTTTTATGTCATAAAATTAGAGAATATATATAAGTATCTACTACAGGATATTACTTTTAAATGGTGTTAGCTTATAATATAAATATCTTGAAATTAAGATGAGTGAAATAACTACCTGAAGGTAATTTGTTTTCTTGGAGCTGTGTTTTAGGCAAATACTAAATACTATAAATATTAGCAGGAAGACACAATTATCATACCAAGAATGATGAAGAAACATACACACACACACACACACACACACACACACACACACAAATGCTTCCTTTTTCTTCTATGGTTTTAGATTTCTCATTAAGGAAACAAAATTAGCTCATTCGTTATAGACCTACAACTATGTATCAGATGGTTGGCATTTTAATATTATGGATGGCAAAAATCTCAGAACCAGTATTGGGATCAAAAAAAGCTAATAATGTAAGCAAAGTTCTCACCTATATTCAACTCTTGATTATAATAAACAAATTAATCTTTTATATCTTGAGTGTCTAAATAGCTTCTCCTTGCTTCACATTTGCATTAGATTATGAATGAACATAAGGCTATATAAAATTGTGCAAATAATAAACAAAAACGTGTTTGGATAAAGCCCAGTAATTCCTAATTGATCAAATAAAGTCTTAGAAAACTAGATAATAGGCAAAATAAAATTTTAATCTGTCATCCAAATTCTCAGAATTGCCATACTTTTTGGCCTATTTTTAAACTATTATTTTAGTCTGAAAATATGTTTTTTTTAATTCTTATTTATTACAGGCAGTAAGCACAGACCCTGTCCCAGTTAAATTACACTATGACAAATCACACGATCAGGTCTGGGTACTAAGCTGGGGTACCTTGGAGAAGACGTCACCAACACTACAGGTAAGAACATATCAGTATAATTGAGAAAATAATGATATTTAAAGCTTTAGACATTTTATTGGCTATTTATGTCAGTTGAACAATGATATTCTTCCATTTGAGGACTATAGCTTTAATCACAACCTGATATACACAGAAAAAGAGGAAAATAGTTGATATTCAAGAACTTTTGGATTGGGAATGATTGCAGGGCATACTTATTGAGTTATATTGATATGACAAAGCTGATGTCATCATGGGAAAAAAAAAGTCATAGTTTACCTATCTTTCGACAATTTTGTTAGTGCATGTAAAATAGAGACCAAGAGAATTAGAACGCAAGAGCCTCAAAATGAGCCATTTTTCTCCAAAAGTATTTTATTATCTGAACAAAAGCTGATTTCTAATAAAGAATATATAGTGTTATTGTAGATTTTGGTTTTGCTTTGATGTTGTTTATGTGAGAACTTCACAGATACAGAAAAAAATATATATATATGCATTTTGACCATGACCCTTTGGCACAGTCTTTAGATTTTTGGAATTACAAGTTTAAGTGAAAACAGAAAAGCAAGGAATGTTTGGCTCAGGAAACATGTTTTATACGAGGGCATTTCTCAAATTGCTTTGTGATTGTACTACTACCCTGAATATTCCTCTCTTAACAAGATCCTAAATCATTAACTTCTGGCCTTTTTAAAATAAAGTCTGTTTAATACAATAATTTTATTTTTAATCAGCTGTCACTACTAAAATTTTTAATGTTTCTCTGATATTTTCAGTATTACAATATTTAATTTAAAAATGACATGTCAGCCGGGCTTGGTGGCTCAGCCTGTAATCCCGCGACTTTGGGAGGCTGAGGTGAGTGGATTGCCTGAGTGCGTGGGTTTGAGACCCGCCTGGGCAGGCGAGACCTCATCTCTACAATAAATCAAAAAATGAGCCGGGCATGGTAGTGCGCACCTGTAGTTCCAGCTACTTGGAAGGCTGAGGCGGAAGGATCGCCGGAGCCCAGCAGGTCGAGGCTGCGGTGCCCGGGAGCGGCCACTGTATTCCAGTCTGGGTGACAGAGTGAGACTCCAACTCAAAAAAAAAAAAAAAAAAAAAAAATGACATGTCTATTGAAATAATTTAGTATAGCTGTGACAATGATGGTTCATATTGTATTCACTAAAAGTATGTCATTTGAAACACCTAACATCATATAATATATTATTTCAGTTTTCTATTGTAAATCAAACCACTCTAAAACCTGAGGTCTTAAACAAAATGTAAGAATGACTTAATACTCACAATTCTGTGACCTAGCCATCTGGGCGGTTCTGATGATGTGATCTGGGAGCACTGATGGACTCCAGGCACCAGATAACTTTGCTAAAGCTAGGGTCCAAAATGACTTTAGCTCCTTGTCAGTCGCATGGTGGTAGTGCTTGACAAGGTGACATTTATTCCCTGCTTGAGACTGCTCACTGTTTAAGCAGGCATCGTCACTGCATACTGGTTTCAGGTTACAAGAATGTCAATAGTTTGAAAGTTAATTTGGTGTCCTTGTGTAGAAAGTATTTAAAAGGGGAAAAACTGAAGGCAGAATAGAATACCCTGTAAAAGGCTACCACAGTATAAAGGTTGTAAAGTAGGAGCAATAAAACGAAACATGGAACACAGACATACAAGAAATCCAAAAGGAAGAACTGATAGAATTTGCTGCAAAATAGCATAGGAGGAATAGATGAGTTTAAATGTAGTGATCTTTTCTTTAACAGACTATGGCAGTTCAAAAACCAATTAATGAGGAATCTCTTTGATTAAATTTTACTTAGATTAGTTGTTCCCAATTATAGGAGAAAAAAATTTAAATATGGATTTGTATATGCTAAGATTGTAAAAATCTAAAAGGTTTATGATTTATTTTGGAGTTTTCAGACCTATGTTGCAAACTATGTCAAATAGGATGGATTTGTCTCCTAATATCTTATATCACCATATGCTTACTTTCATTTTATTCATTATAAGAAGGTTAAGATTTTTATAATGCAGAGGTTGCTTACAGGCCTGCTTGTTTTATATTTTAAAGTAAAATTGTTCAAGACAAATATTTTTTCTGTTTTTTATCTCTTTACAGAAACAAAAGTTTCTATATGTAAGATAAGCAAAACAATTACAGAATTGCAATTTGCTTAACAATACATTCATTTTGAGGACAATAAAGAGTCTATGAAAACTACCAGAAAGAGATTTATCTCCTCTCTCAATAAAATTAAAGCTTATACTAATAAATTACTGCATTACTGAGGCCTAACTGCAGTGTGTCGTGTTTAGGTAATAACCCTGGCCAGTGGGAATGTGCCACACCACACGATCCACACCCAGCCTGTGGGAAAGCAATTTGACAGAGTGGACGATTTTTTCATTCCCGCCACAACGCTCGTCATCACTCACATGAGGTAAGTGCTAAGTGGGAAAATCAACTCTTTTAAAATTTTGCTTTAATTTTAATAGATAGTCACACAGTAATATAGAAATTTAGTTATAAAGCAAACGCACAAAAACAAATGCAATTGCACATCATTTAGCTTCATCACATCTGCATGATGAATTTTTATTCATCAACGATATTGAGGAATTTTCCCTCACATGTTTCTTTTATGCTTAATGGGAAAGTGAATTTTTAAAGATGCAGTTGTACTTATAAAAATCCATTGAACAATTTTTTTTTTTCAAGTTGTCATTAGGATTTTTCCTACTAGGCTCTTGCAAAAGGCTGACATTTCCTTAAATAAATAAATAAATACATAATTTGAAAGACTCACATCTCAAATGGAGAGAATGTTGATTCAAACTGGGTCTGATGAAAGAGCCACCGTCATAAAACTCCATTCATTATTTTTACAACACTTGTATTATTTTTGTACATAATGGAATTAATATAAAATTGTATTAGAAAATAGAAAAAGTTGAAATGAAATGTTTGATGTCTCCATTTTGTTTAGAAAATCGTATGTATTTTTTATCTCTCCATGTATTTATAGGAGGTACAAAAGTAATACTGGCTTCTAGTGAGTTCACTCTAATACTTCATAGAAGTGATTTAAATGCGTAAAAAGGAAGAACATTGGTATATTATAATTTTTAGTGTGTGTATCTTAATTTATTGAAATAATTTAAAATATTTGCTCAGCAATGTTGAAAATGAATCTAAGGCAAATAAATATGTTGTTCCTTTTCTCAAGTTAATTCTGATATGTGAAAACTGCTCCAGTTATATTATGTGAATCATTATTTGATTCTTGTGTATATTTGTTTCCTTGCATTAAATTAAAAATTATGTTAGCTGGGATCGGTGGCTCAGCCTGTAATCCCGCGCTTTGGGAGGCGGAAGTGAGTGGTTTGCCTGAGCCCGAGGGTTCGAGACCCGCCTGGGCAAGTTGGCGAGACCTCGTCTCTACACTAAATCAAAAAATTAGCCGGGGTGGTATCGTGCATCTGTAGTTCCAGCTACTTGGAAGGCTGAGGTGGAAGGATTGTGGAGCCCAGCAGGTTGAGGCTGCAGTGGCCGGGAGCGGCCACTGCACTCCAGTGTGGGTGACAGAGTGAGACTCCAACTCAAAAAAACAAACAAATAAAAAAAACGATGTCATCTAAAACTGAAGTTGCAAGAATTCTGAAAGTATACAAAATTCAACTTGGCAAAAATTCAAAGGAGTATTAATTAATCAGAATTTATCTCATAGTCAAAAATAGAATAAATTATTTCTTGTACAGTCAAGTATGTTTTAGAAATTTGATATATTTGTCAAGCAATAGCCTATTATTTTTATAAGGCCTATTATGTCCTCAACAATAAAGTGATTAAAGTACATAATATGCTGTAACAATTATTACACATTTTTATGGACAAGTTATTGAAACTGCACAATATTTGAAAAGTACTTACATCAATAATTTTTGGATTTTGATTATAACAGCTCAGAGATAGAAAAAAATTCAGTGCTGAACTGAAATGGTACTACCACTTGAAATGACATCTAATGAATACATCAAGTTTTTATATTTATTTGATCAAGATAAAATTTTATTTAATTGGCTTTGGGTGTTATGGTAAATAAATATTCCTGTTTTTTGTATATTGTTTATAAATTATTAATAACCAATAATAAAATATGTAACACTTCCTTTTAATTATCCCATTCAACTATTCTTTATTACTGTGTTTAATATACTATTATCAATTTTCCTTGTTTTTAAACAATGTATTTTTGATACCATTTCTTTGAGCAAGATTCTTGTCTATGATACTAATAGGTATAATTGTGTATAGCTGGGGGTGTTTTTCTCCTACACCAGATAAATTGGTCATTATGTTAAAATAGGTACCAGAGGCAAGAGTATACACTTTGGTTGCATGCAATAAGTGCTAATGTGTAATTCTCTGTTATAGACATAATTTTATATTGTCAGAACATTGCACTTTTTATACTCTAAATAATTACTACATTGTTGGAGTTGTAGCTAATATTAGCTAGAAAAACAAAATAATCTGAACAAACATAAGGCACAATTTTATCTTAGTTATTTCTATATATTATGAGAAAGACTGAAATGTATGCTTGATCATACTTTTAAGCCTCCTTATTCTCCTTAGGAATGTGCTGTGAAATGTATGGGTGTTTTGCCAGTACATTATTTATAAGTATTTAATTTAGAAATAATAATTTAGTAACAATAAAAGTTAAATTATAGCAATTCTACCTGCATATGGAATCCCATTTTAATGAACATGAATGATAACCAAATTTCTTATTGTAGTTCAAAGTAATTATTACTATTGTCACAGTGAATGACAGGCATAAAAATTAACATGCATTTCCAAAAATAGACAAAGTATCTACAGTATTTTAAACAGAATGTGTATTTATTCCACATTAGGAATACTTGAGCGATAGATAAGGCCTTTTCTCCCACCAATTTTATATAATATATTTCTAAGAAAACTCAACTTGCCTTTAAATATGTGCTACTGAGACTGAACTTTTTTAGATTGCATTTTTCAGAATGTGACACTACTTTCTGACTGTTGTGCTCAGTAGTTATTTTCCCGCCAGGCAGAGGGTCTGACACATAATATGTGTTTAGTTAATATTAGTTTTCTTCCTCTGACCCCACATACCATTAATCTGCTTTTCTCTCATTTTGCTATATCTTCGTTCCAAATAATTTATATTGCCAATGTCTGAAAAGCTACTGCACAAGTGTTAGGATTTATATCCTTGGTGCCTAAAAACCAGTAGACAATTTATGGGTCTCATAGGATTGGAAGTAAAGAAAGAAGAAAGTGCAACACTATTTTCTAAACCAGATTATACAATACCAAGGAAGAACTGTGTTTCCTATGAACTGAATTTCTCAGCATCTAACATCACTGCATTCAGCAAGCACTGTGCCCAGAACACAGAAATTGTGTGGAACCAGTAAACAACAGTCATAAGAATGTATATCTCCTATCAGACAAATTCTAAGCCTGAATGTCGCAGCAATATCATTCACCCTTGGCTATGGAGAACTCAGCCAATTTATTTCATTTTTTTCCTAAAGATTGGAATACAATTATGTTTGAGTATTCAGTTGCCTGATAATACTTGTCCAGACTATTCATAATCTCCACTGAGATACTGACTCCTTTGTGACTAGTTACAGTTTTGCTAAAAGTCTCTATTTTTTCCTACCTGGTTTCTTCTCATTTTTTCTCCAGTTTCTTGTTTGTTTATGTGGCTATGATTCTCAAGTTTCTTTAGTCTGTAAATAAATTATAAGTGAGGAATTTAAAAATACCAAAATGAGAATGTTAATCAGCTTGACTTTAGTAATCACTTTGTTATTAGTTGAATATCAAAATATAAATAACAAAGCATCATGTCCTACACTTTAAATATATACAATAAAAAGAACATAAATCTATTTCAAAAGATAAACTTATCCTTCAAAAGAACTAATCAGGTTTTACAAAATTTGGGACATTCACTATTTAAAGCATTTGAAATTTCAGCACTTTAAGAATTCTTGAGATCTGAATTTAAGTGCTTTTTGAATCACCTTCAACATCTGAATTTCAGGGAACTGGTTTTCATGTTCAACATATAATTTCTTCTCCATAGAAATGTGAGCACTAGCCTGGGAATAAGAATATACAACATCACACTACATTCAATCTTATCAAAATATTCTTTAAACTGCTGAGCTCTAGTTACTGGACCAAGCTTTATTTCCTGCCTTTTTTCATTCCTAAAGAAATTTAACTAAATGAAACTTCCTGGAAGATGACAGAGGATATATTAAACTTTTGTATCCCAATTAACTCCAGCTACTTGCTGAGATTCTGAAAAAGACTGACTAAATCCTTATTGACTAAAAGTCTATTTTAGTACATATTTTAATACTTTCAATATACATACTGAAGTATACATATTTTCAATATATATGTTTTTAATATACAAGAGTGTGAGTTGATTAATTTCTTACCTCAACTGTTGAGAAAACAATTAAATAACTTGGAATTGTGTTAATAATACAGAGATTATTTTCTGGTGTCCATTGAAAATATATTTATTGAAATCATTCTGTAATTTTATGCCTCTTTGTTTTTTAAATAAACAATAAATTTCTTTAAATTTTATGATTTGTTAATTTTCCCAAAACTAGTTCCATTGAATATTTAATAAATGAAGTACATTTTACATTAATAATTAATTCCACATATTTTCAGACTTGCAATTAGTGAAAAAAAAAATTCCTTAAAAGCTTTAAACTTCAGGAAGATATTAATAAATTCTAAATCATCTTTCTAAATTTAGGGATATAACAGGGATATCCTTTGTAATGACAGAGGAAGAACAAATTTGTTGTTAGAAGAATTCCAATTGCAATTATTTTACATATAAAAAAATACAGATAGGTAAAATGAAAAGACAGACTTAAAGATAAAAATAATGTAATTATCACAGTAGACAATTATGTCTAATTTAATAAAATTTGAAATAGCTACATTTTTAAATCAAAAATTATCTACAAGTATAAAGCAAAATGTTTCATTATTCTACATATAAATTGTGTCTAAAGAAGTAAGTTATTATACAACCCAGTTGTCAAATTGAATTGAAATTGCAATGTCATTACATATATGTAAATATAAGTATTTGAGTAATATTATAATTTTGTTTTTCTTAATCTTTTAAATTTGCTGTTCTTAATCTTTTCTTGATATGGCTAATGCATGGGGTGATCAGTGAGTTTGGTATCAATCTTTTGATATTATCCAAAAATTTAGAAAGAAATTAAAAGATAAGTTTATTATTCTTCAGAAACAGTTTTTACAATGCTTATGTTAAACTGCAAAGCAAATACATTTCATAAAGCATGGGCATTTACATGACTGATGTATTTTTTGTGT